GTATATATATACATACATACATGCACACATACATACATCCATGCATGCATGCATACATATATACATACAGGCATGCATACATATGAACATACATACGTATATAGATACATTAGTGTATATGCATATACATATACATAATCATATGCATATATTATACATAGGCATACGTGTAATGCATACGCATGTACCTATACATGTACACAAACAGTTACGCATGCATGTACATGTGCATGTACATGGATATGTGTGTACATGTATATTCATAAATACATGCACATGTTTACTTGTAGGACTGTGCCTGACAGCTACATATACATATACATAAGCACATACGTGTATGTATGTACATGAATATGTATATGCATATACATACACAAATACTCAGGAAGTGTTCAACAAAAGCTGGTAGAAACTTTGCTTCGCACGCTGAGGAGGAACGAACAACGTCGAAGAAAGGATGGGAGGTTGGGGCGAAAAGGGAAGGCAACGCAAGCACCCAGGAACCAGTAAATTCGGAGGCGTTGCTTCGGCAACTATACTCCGCCCAACTCTCCGTGATCTCGAACCGAACAGGGTGAACCGGAACCGCTGTACTTCGAAACCGACGCGGAGCGAATCGGAACCGGTGCGCCCCAGGCCGAACCGAACCGAACCGAGCCGGAACTCCCCTGTGTGGGCGGCGCCGACGAGGGGGTGGCGCCGAGGGGGGCGGCCCTCTGAGAAGGCAGGGGGGGGGGCTCCTCAGAAGGCAGGGGCATGCTGCGCAGGGCCGAGAGGCTGCCCTAAGGAGCCCTCCTCGGAGGCCGCCCGGCCCTTCCGAGAAGCCCCCTGCCCAGCCTTCGGAGGGCAAGCGCGCTCCACGACTCGCACAGGAGCTGCTTGCAAGTGGCCGGGATCCCTTGCACCGAGGCAAGCATCTCTGTGTTTGCACGTTGGCGAGTCGGCACGTCTGCGAGCAGGGGAACGCGCTCGGAGATTCTGAGAGGTCCGCCCACTCCTCCTCTGCGAGGCCCCCTCCCCTTGCCTCTTGGGCGGCAGGGGGGTGCGATGAACGAGGGGGCAGCGAGGGCTGCCGAAGAGGGGCCCTCCAGGGGCCGAAAAAGGGCGACTTTCTCACCCCCTCCCCCCATGTAATTATCGTCCCACCCCCCATCACGATCGGACCTGAGGCAAGAGAACACCCTTCGAGAACATGAGACCCTCCGCCGGCCAAAGCACACAGAACATCCAAGGGCACCCTCCCCGGGACGCACAAGAACATCCAGCAACCACGAAGAGCACTAGGGCACCCTCCCCGAATCGACCTCGGTCTGATACCTCGGCCCGGCTGCAATTCGCGCCCGAGCCTCCGCAGGAGGCCGTCCCCACCCCCGAGCGAGGCGCGCCCTCGCGGGCGCCGCCGCCTCTCTTAGGGGGGCAGACAGGGATCGAAACGTACAAACTCGGAGGCCCGCGCGGAGTTCTCGGATCGGCGCTGGACCTCCCTGGCTGGGGGGCCCACGATCCCTTCGGCGGGGCCCGCGACGACCCCCTGGCGGGTGGCTTAAAAAGATGCTTCGCGCCCCGCGGGATCTATTCATCAGCCTGGGGGAACGAATGACACAAACATCAAAACTCGGAGGTCCGCGCGGATTTCTCGGATCCGCGCCCAACCCCCCTGGCGGCGCCTCCGGCGCCGCCCCTGGCGCGCTCCGTGCGCCAGGGAGGGGGGTCCAGCGCCTATCCGAGCAATCCGCGCGCACCTCCGCAAAAGTATGTTTATGTCATCCTTCGTTCCCCGACTCTCTTCCGGTACCGATGCCGCTACTCCCCAGACCTCTCCTGGGGTGCGTTCTGACCAGGATTTCGAGGCGAACCCAGCGGTGGCGACGACGGAGGCCCAGGAGGCCCCCCAAAAAAGGAAAAACGAGGGGAGGGTACGTAGAGGTGTGGGTACCTTTTCCTCCTCTGACTCTCGTCCCCTGCGGTTCCCCATGCTCGGGGACGACACGAAGATGTAGCGGCTGGGCGGGCCGCTGGGCGTCAGCGCCTGGGGCCCCCCCGCCAGCAGCGCGCCGGCGGCGGGGGGGGCGCCTCGGGCGCCGGAGGTGGGGGGGGGGCCCTCGAAGGCTCGGAGGTCCTTATAAGATGAAGGGGTCCAGGGACACACATCTATATACACAGAGCTCCCAGGATCCCCGGCAAATTCGCATACCTTTTTTCTGGGTCTCGTCCTCCTCCCACTTCCCGTATTTTCCCAGATGTTCTGGGGAATCGACGATCCATTGTGTCTGTGTGCTTTGTCCCTCCTGAGAGGGACCGAGCGAACGACGAAAGACGCGCGAGGGGCGGTCGCCCCTGCAAGGGCACGGGCTGGCCAGCAGCAGGCGCGGGGCAGCCGTGGCCGCTCACTCTACATCAGCCTTCTTGAGCTCCCACCACCGCCTCCACTCCCCCTCCCTCCTCCACCCTCAGATTCCTCTCCTCTCTCCTGGGAGAGGGAGCCAGACATGCGACGTCCTGATGTTTTCAATGCGGGGCCCCTCCCCGGAAGTCCCGACCCTTTCCCCGGGACCGGTTCTTCATCCTGACTCGCTTCTTGACGGTCCCGAGGCCCTGCGAGGCCTCCCCGAGGCCGAAATTGGCCCAAAACCTCCCGCCCTGATTTTCTTACGACGCCAGTCCGCGGTGCTGTCGAAGACGCGGAATACGAAAGAGCCAAGGGCGGCGAGGACACGTGCGGCGGTCGGTGTTTTGGGGGGGGCCGAGCCCTCGGACTCTGCCAGATGCTGCACCCAAGCCCGGGTCAATGCGGCCCTGTCCCGGCAGGATCCTGCAAGGTCCAGCGCTCTGGCTGACCCCGGTTTGTATGGACCCCGTCTCGAGGCTCCCGGCTCGGGAGGACGAGGCCCCCCCCCGGGGAGGGGCCCGCGTCAGCAAAGAGAGCGTGGGAGGACACAGCGGAGGCCAGTCCGCAAGAACCCGTCCGCAAGAGACCCAACCCTGAGACCCCAGGACGTCCATGGACGTTTGGTGCGGGAACGTCACGCCTTCCATCAAGTCGGGCCTGTCCCTCTACAGGAGTGATATCCGAAAAGATTCAGAAAACAATGTCTGGGAACGATTTTTTAACCGTTTTTGACCATTTGGGAGTTTTATTATCTTTCATCTTTCGCCCAAAACCCCCCTGTAGGGGGACAGGCCCGACTTAAGCCTTCGCAAAGCCATCGAAACCCAAGAGACCCAGGGGACCTTGGAGGCGAGCAGGGTATTTCTTGGCATGGGTTTCCACTGTAGGGGGGCTAGGTGTTCGGGAACTTCTTCCTGTTCGAGCCACTGCCCACGCCTCGGAGAGCCCCCAGAAGGCTCCGGGAGGCCTCCAGGAGGTCCTCCTTCAAACCTCCTGCAGGGCACGGGCCCTGGGGGCCCGGGGACTGTCCCTGGGAGCAGCCTCTCATCCCAGGGGCGCTTCCTTACGGCCCTGGGGCGCAAGGAAAGGCCGCGGGGGGCCGAGAAGTTATACGAAAGGCAGATCTCCTGTTCTGAGCCACCCAGCTTCGTACACGCCGCCCCGCCATGACACACGCACGGTTCAATTCGCGCCCTCGCGGCCCTTCTGAAGAAGGCCACCTCAGCGGCCCCTACTGCGACGCACGGCTATCTTCGCGCTCCTCGGAGGGACCTCGTTTTTCGTCATGCGAGGGCGCCAACTGCGGCCAAACCAAGGACAGAAAAACATCCTTCAAGAGCACGAGACCCTCCGCCAGCCAAAACACCCTCAACCTTGAGATCACGGAGGGTACCCTTCCCCAGCATGCACAAAAGGACACACGACTGACGCGCAGAACACCAGGGGCCCCTCCCCGAGCCGACCTCGATCTGGCACTTCGGCCCGAACGTATCTGCACTGATCCTGGCCGGGCCCAGCCTGGGCCCCAGGGGCGGTGTGTACGCCCGTCTGGCTTCTGCGGCTTCTGTAAAGGCGCCCAGGGACACGCAAATAAACACACACATAAGAAAAATACACACACACACACACTAGTAAATACACGTCTGGCTTCTGCGGCTTCTGTAAAAGCGCCCAGGGACACACAAATAAGCGCGCACACACACACACACACACACACACACACACACACACACACACACACACACATATATATATATATATATATATAGAAATACACACACTAGTAAATACACGCCACATTTCCACATCTTTTCTGGGTTTCCGTCCTTCCCCCCCGCTTCCCGCACCTGTTTCGCCATACCTTCCTGGGAGTCGACGATGAATTGTGCGTTGTGTGTGTGTGTTTCTCCCCCTCCTGGTTCCGCCTGTTGAAGCATACACGCCGATCCTGGGCCCAGGAAAAGCACGGCCAGGGTCGGTACAGCCGCCGGCGCCTCCGCGTGCCGGGGCTGGAGCGTTTCTCCGCAAGGCTTCGGCGACCCGTCCTCCTCCTCCTCCTCCTCTCCTCTCCCTCCCTCCCTCCTCCTCCCTCCCTCCCTCCCTCCCTCCCTCCCTCCCTCCCCTCCTCCTCCCTCCTCCTCCCTCCTCCTCCCTTCCTCTCCCTCCTCCTCCTCCTCCTCCTCCTCCTCCTCCTCCTCCTCCTCCTCCTCCTGCTCCTCCTCCTCCTCTTCCTCCTCCTCCTCCTCCTCGTCCTCGGGTCGCCTACGGCCCCGGGGGAAACCGTGTGCGTGCCGGGAGTGGAAACGAAGGCCTGCGAATTTTGGAAGCCTGGAAGCACTACGATACAACACCAACACGTTTGACTTTGACTTGCCTTGCTTCCTCGGCGCTCCAACGATTTCCTGACTTTGACCGTCGGCATTCCCATCCGACGTGTTTACCCAGTCCACCCTCCTCTCGCTGATGTTGGTCGGGACTGGGTAGACGTCCGCTTGTCCCAGGAAATCGTGATAGAGGCCATCTTGGCCTCTTGGACGCTGTTGTAGTTGTTGTAAGCACTTTGGTGTAGTGATTCTGGGTCTCCCGCAGTTCTGAATGATGGAGAATCCATTGCCAGACGACTGCCGAGAAGGCATGTGACATGATTGGCTGTCCCCCTGCCCCTTTCCCCCTCCCCTGTGATCAGACAAATACACAGGGGGGGGGGGGAGGCGCGGAGGGGTTGGGGCTGAGGGGGCACGAGCACTTCAGCGCACCCTGGGGGCTCTCTGGAGCCTCCAAAGAGCCCCAAGACGGCCCGCGCCGAAACAATGCAAGAGAGCGTCAAGACGGCCCACGGTCACGCCGCGACGGTGCAGCTTGAAGTCGGCCTACGAGGCCAGAGCCCCAAGAGGGAAGCATTTTTCCATTCCTAAACAAAAGAGCATGTTAGAAACACACGCCTTTTTTTTCCGACTCGACAGCGTCCACTACGGCCCGAGGAACCCCCCAAGATCGTCCCAAGACGGCCCATGAGGCCCCCAAGAGGGCCCAAGAACTGCCCATGAGAGCCCCGAGGGGGCCCCAAGACAGCTCCAAGGGCCCCTAAGACGGCCCAAGAAGGCCACAAGAGGAGCAATACGGTCTGACATCTCGAGTCTTTCCCGCCGTGATGGCCCAAAGTGCCCCTCCAGTGGTGCCTGTGGCGCCCTCACGAGGCTTCCAAGAGGCACCCAAGACGCACCCAACAGGCCCTGGAGAGGCCCCCAAAAAGCAAACCAGATGCCCCCAAGAGCCCTCCAAGAGGCCCCTGGGAGTCGTCCCATGAGACCCTCATATGCACACCCAAGGCTCCTGGCCCACAGGCCAGGCACGGTGGCATGACTCTTGGCGAATTCACTGTTAACAAGGCCGGCGGAATGGCGTACCGTAAGCCGCTTGAATATGCACGTGCACCTAAACATCCAACGTCTTGAGCCCGCCAGCAGGCCCCCAAGAGGCCCCTTAGAGGCCCCCCGAGGCCCAACAAGCTACTGCGAGAGGCCCCCAAGAAGCCCCGAGGGGTCATATGCCGCCAAGAAGCCCCCGAGAGGCCCCCGATGCAGCCCAAACAACCTCCCAGAGAGGCATCTTGTACACGACCCAGTTTGGTCCCAAGAGCGCCCCGAAACGCCATCGAGTGCCTCCCAGACATCTCCCGCTGGCCACGAGCACACGGACACATTTCCAGTCGCTACGACCAGACGGGCACGCGGCAACGACGACACTGTACGGGCCTGCGGAATGAGCGAAGCGATTCCACAATGCCCTTTGCGGGCCCTCGCCATATTAAGCTTCGAGAGAAGATAATAAGATGGAGGATGATGGAAGGGAGTGAGCATGCACGCGTAAATGCATGCTCCAGCCAGCCCGTCTAGCAAGGACGCACGACAAAGGATGCAAGAGCCTTTGAAGGCCATGCCATCACTTTCCGACCGGGGCGCGGCCAGCAAACGTGGCCAAGGATGGGCCCGAAGGGTAAGGATGCAAGAGTAACCTTGGAAAGTCGTTCATCCTTACTATGCGGGTTGACGGTAAGAGCGCCCCCGCGCACTCTGACGGCCCATTCTCTTGGGGCGCGCAAAAATACTAGCGGCACGCGCCCTCAAGGCCACGAGGGCTTGAATTTTCCACACCCCTCACGCGCATCCTGCCCCACACTTTCCTGGGACACATGAAAAATACAAGCGAAGTGCGCTGTCAGGCTCTTTGGGCGGGTGAATACAGGGATGGCTTGGGAGACGTAGGAATACGAGTGAACCGCCATTATATTTTAATGGGAACCTCACGTCGGCACACACCCCAAGCACTTCGTGCATGTTGGGCGCTCGGCTGGCCCCCGAGACGGCTCCTTGGAGCTTCGGTTCGGCACACCCCTCACTCGCTTCGTGCCCCATGGACCCCCAAAAACACCCCGCGTTTCATCCTGGGCCTTTTTGGTGGAAGCAAAACATCTGCACAACACACACGGCGAGGGCATTGGATGAACCCTGATATAAGGAGTCCAGGGTCTGGAAGCTGGTGGGGCACCGACTGGGGCTGGGCATGGATCCCACCGCCGCCCCCATCAGACCAGGAACCCTCCAGGGTCAGGAGCCTCCCGGGCGCACTGCCTAACGAACGCCGCCACCGTAAGCTTTCGGAGGTCTGGGCGGATGACTGGCGTCGGCGCTGGACCCCCTCTCCTCCTTCCCTCCCTGGCGCGCGGAGAAGGCCAGGAGCAGTCCCAGAAGCGTCGCCAACGGGGGGGCACCCACCGCCAACCCAAGAACTTTGAGCGGACATCTGCAGCAGGTTTGCGCCTGTGCCGCTGTGTTCCTTTGATTCGTCGCCTGGAGGCAAGAAACAGCCCCTTGGGGCTCTAGGAACAGCCCCTGGGGCCAGAAAGCGGACAGGGTTGAGGGGGGACGTGAGGGATGGGAATGGTTCGGGGGGAGAAAGGGGGGAGGGAGGGAGAACATCGAGCTGGAACACCGAGTTGAAATCGGCAGTACATCCCCGATCGGCCAGCGATCAGCACCCGATACCGAATCCGCATGGTTTTGGGCGGACAAGGGTTATCGGGCCCCAGACCGGCAACCATTAAGGGTCGATGAGTCCCCCCCCCCGAATGTCAGCCTGTGGCCAACAAAAACAAGCGGGGCGCGCGATTCACAAAAATGATTCCCCTGCTCGGGCGAATCGCGGAGGGGGCGCCCGCTAAATGGAAACGCGCGGCGGCGGCGATGGTGATCAGCGCCGACGCCCAGCCGACAGCAGGAGGGCGACAGGCGCGACGCAAGCGGCGCTACTTCAGCGGAGGGGGACAGCCGTGTCTGCGCTGTAGCGGGGCTGTTGGGCCAAAATGGCCACGGACGGGAGAGAACGAGGAAGCGGGGGAAAGAGGCGCCTCAGCTGACGGGCGGTGCCGACGTGGCTACAAGCAAAAGACAAGGATGGGGAGAAGCGACAAAGGCAGGCGGAAAGGGATCCTCCTTCTCCTTTTCTGACCCCCGTCCCTCCACTGCAGTATCATACGACGACGACGGAGACGACGGCGAGACGACGACGACGGCAAGGACGAGGACGACGACGAGGACGAGAACGAGGACGAGGACAAGAACGAGGCCGAAGACGACCACGACCACAACAACGACGACGACGACGGCGACGGTGACGACGACGACGACGACGACGACGACGACGACGGCGACGACGGCGACGGTGACGACGACGGCGATGACGACGAGGACGACAACATACGAAAGGCAATTGTTTTGAGGCTGCCGTGCAGAGGGGTACACGATCCCTTCGGCGGCGCCCGCGACGACCCCCTGGCGCGCGTGATTGAAAAAAATGTTTCGCGCCCCGCGGGATCTATTCATCAGCCTGGGGGGGGGACCATCATTAGGGGAACGCAGAATGACAGAAACTCGGAGGTCCGCGCGGATTTCTTGGATCCGCACTGGACCCCCTCTAGCGGCGCCTCAGGCTCCGCGCGCCAGGGAGGGGGGTCAAGCGCCGATCCGAGAAATCCGCGCGGACCTCCGAATTCTTATGTTTATGCCACTCGCTGTCTCCCTGAATCATTCATGAATCACAAGCTGACATTAACCCTGCCCCTCAAGAGGGACACCCCGCCCTGATGGTCGCCAAGGACGCTGGATCATTGGGCGCCCCTCCTCCCTGAGAGCCGACGTCACGAAAAGACTGCAACGTCTTGAGACAAATCACGACCAGAGCCCCTGACCCCATCTTCCTGCGCCATTCTTCGAGGCCAGATCGATCTGTCCACTCCGCCCTGATGGTCGCCAAGACGCGGGATCATTGGGCGCCCCTTCCCCCTGAGATCCGACGTCTCGAACAGACTGCAGCGTCGTGAAAAGTCACGACTGGAGCCCTGGACCCTAGACCTTCCCGCGCCATTCTTCGGGGCCGGAGATCGACCTGTGAGAGCGCCAGGCTCACAAGAGCTGAGCCCGCTTTTCCCACTCGCTGACCTCAGCTCTCAGGAGCTCCATCGCCAGGACCCCGGGCTCGCCACGGCCTCCGCGGCTCGGGGCGACGCCAGCCCGGAGGAGGAGGAGGAGGAGGAGGAGGAGGCGGAGGAGGAGGAGGAGGAGGAGGAGGAGGAGGAGGAGGAGGAGGCGGAGGAGGAGGAGGAGATGCCCTCCAGGAACTCGAGAGAGGCCTCTGGAGGCACCCCCTCCCTCGGGAGGGCGAGGCTTGAGGGGCAACGGTAGGGGGGGAGAGGCATAGGGGGGGATGCGTGGATCTGGAATCGGCGATACATCGCCGACAGCTCCGCCTCCTCCTCCGCCTCCTCCTCCTCCTCCTCCTCCTCCTCCTCCCCGCCTCCTCCTCCTCCTCCGCCTCCTCCGCCTCCTCCTCCTCCTCCTCCTCCTCCTCCTCCTCCTCCTCCTCCGCCTCCTCCTCCTCCTCCTCCTCCTCCGCCTCCGCCTCCTCCTCCTCCTCCTCCTCCTCCTCCTCCTCCTCCTCCTCCTCCTCCTCCTCCTCCTCCTCCTCCTCCTCATAGGGGGGGATGCATCGATCTGGAATCGGCGATACATCGCCGACAGACCAGCGATATGCCTCCGATCGTGAATCCGCGCCTTCCTTGGCAGGTTGGGGCTATCGGGCCCCTATCGGCGATCAATGGCGATCGGGGGCCGATGCATCCCCCCTACTATGCCTATCCCCCCCTATCGTTGCCCCTGAGAGTTGAGACAACGGCAGCCCAAAAATCGGCAAAAAACGTCTAGACGCGCTTCCGTTCCAAGGTGCGTCGAGCTGTGGCGACGAGGAGCCCAGACGTGCTCGCGTCGTGGAGAAAAAAAAAAAAACATGTTATATATATATATATACACATATACATATACATATATATACATACATATTTATATATATATACATATATATACAATAAATAAATAATAATAACAATATAAATAATAATAGTAATAATAATAATAATAAGAGAGAAAAAAAAAAAAAAAAAAAAAAAAAAAAAAAAAAAAAAAAAAAAAAAAAAAAAAAAAAAAAAAAAAAAAAAAAAAAAAAAAAAAAAAAACGAGAGGTGTTTGACCACATTCGGCTTCCAGTGGCCCTCGCCGGGCCTCGGGGCCGTCAAAAAGCGCCTCGGGATGAAAAGCCGGTCCCGGGGGAAAAGAATTCGGACTTCCATGGGCCGCGCATTGAACAAGTCAGGACGTCTCAGACATGCGACGTCCTGACTTTTTCCATGCGGGGTCCCTGGAAGTCCCGACCCTTTCTCCGGGACCGGTTTTCCTCTTGCGTCGTTTTTTAGACGGTCCCGAGGCCTGGCGAGGGCCCCCCGAAGCCGAAAATGGCCCAAAACCTCCTGTCCAGATTTTTGCTACGACGCAGCCATGTTTGGGACCGAATCAGGACGCCGCATGTCTGGGAGGAGGGCCTCTCCGCCGTGAGGCCCCGCCCAGACGCTGGACATTTGGGCCCCGGCTTCGGCGGATCGGGGCGCCGCCGCATGCGCCCAGCAGCGCCACCAGGGTCCAGCGGCGCCTGGGGGCAACGGCACGGACCCCAGGCTTTGGACGCCCGACATGGGTACGGAAAGAATGGGTACAACGCCCAACAACAAATGTTGTCCCAAACCGAAAGCGGCCGCTGTTGGGCAGGCGGCCTTCTGTCTCAAATGGACACAAGCCGCGGCGACACCGACAGCGAGTCCTGTTCAAAATGAACAGGAACTGCTGTTGGGCAGTGCACTCATTCTTTCCGTACCCATTTCGTTCGTGCCGACAGACATGATCGCGTCGTAACAGAAATCCCGACACGAGGTTTTGGGCCATTTTCGGCCTCGGGAGGCCCTCGCAGGGCCTCGGGGCCGTCGAAAAACTACTCAGAATGAAAAAACGGCCCTGGGGAAAGGGTCGGGATTTCGAGGGGCCCCGTCCTGAGAAAATCTGGACGTCGCATGTCTGGGGCCGGGGGAGGGGGGGGGGGCATCGAGCTGGAAGCGGCGACACGTCGCCGATGGATCGGCGATTGGCCCCCGGCGTGGCAAACCCGCACGGCCTTCCTGGGCGGGGGAGAACGGGTTCTCGGGCCGCTGTGTCGGCGAGCAGTGGGCGCCGGGGGGTAAAGATGCGTTCCCCCCCCATGACCTGGACATGCGATGTCCTGATTTTTTCAATGCGGGGTCCCTAGAAGACCAGACCCCTTCCCCGGGACCGGTTTTTCAGCCTGCGTCGTTTTCTTGACGGCCCCGAAGCCCGGCGAGGGCCCCCCGAGACCGAAATTGGCCTAAAACCTCCCGTCCTGAAAAACGCCCCCCGCCCCACACATGAGGACCTTTAGACGAATGGGACCGTCAAGCGACGCGCGAACTGAAAGCGAAAACTGCTCGACGGTCAGCCAACGACAACGCCGCGACATTCAACGCGAACGGCGCGCTGCTGCCATGCTCATTGGCGTTTGAACTTGGCGTTTCCTTGCGCTGGGGACATTCGCGCGCTTGTGTCAGGGCAAAAACCTATGGGCGCGTCGGCCCTTGGCGGCGCTGGCAAGAAGCCCGCGCGGCGCCCGGGGCCCGCCCCGCACAGGCGCGCATCGAAAAGTTTAGATCCACCCCAAAAACAAAATTTGTTTGGGCACCAGGCGACAAAACAATAAACTCCATATAAAATCAACCTAAACTGTTCCAAAGCAGAAAGTCTCGCGCGGGAGGGCCCCGAAAAGTGCGTTTATGTAAACGCCAAAAAAACTCTACATTGGACCAGTTGCCTTAAGAGAAACGCTCCCGATCTAAACTTTTCCGCTGGCGGGGCGAGGAGGGGGCGACGGAGGCGGGCGCGGGAGCCCTCGGCTGGGCCAGCGGCGCGGCCGCGCGAGGGACAGCGCCGCCGCCACCTCAAACTGCGAGCCGCGGCTGTGGCACGCGCCGCCCTGGGAATGCCGGCGCGGGCGCGGCCGCGTCGAGCGGGCCCAGGACGTCGCCGCGCGCGGGGCCCCCCTACGGCAGCTGGCAGTGGTCTCGCCGGCAGGGCGCCTACACTTACGCTCACTCGCCGTAAATGCAAAACGCTGACATGTAAAATCCATAATTGTGGGGGCTGGGGTCGGTTTCCCACTAATCACCCAACCCTCCTTGTGGTTGGATATTCGTTTTGAATAGAGCACTCCTCGCACGTCCTTCCTTCCTTCCTTCCTTCATTCCTTCCTCCCGCCTCCTGTCGCCCGCTTCCCTCTTGTCTCCTCCTGCTCTGTTGCGTATCCCTTGTTTGTGCATCCTGCCTTGTGCGTACCTATTGCCTTGTGCGGCCGTCCCTGGGGGGCTGCGATCTGCGACACTGTCGCCACTTTCGAGGGCTGCCGGTGGGTCCAGCGGAGCGAGGCACCGCGCAGACCTGAGCGGGACCTCGCCGTCCCTGGGGGGCTGCGATCTGCGACACTGCCGCCTCCGGATAACGTCTCCCGAGCTACTCATGCCCCGCATTGCGCAGGGGTTGGGTACGTCGCCAGGGTAATTCAACGACGCGACCATGTGTGGGCTCCCCCCCCTGAGCCCGTCTCCCCCTGACGTTGCCCCTGCGCGCCCCTCGGGCCGCGGCGGGGGCCCGCTGCGTTGCGGCAT